TTGGTTAAGGGCAGCGAGGCTTGCCCAAAACGCGTCGATGGATCACCAGACTTTTTGTAGACACATTATGCCACCTATATGTGGAATGTAGCATACCACCGTGTCTCTACTTGGTCATCGGAGATGAGCTACTTTTGGAGTCTCCAACCTTTCGGTCCTCATCCAAAAACATTTGCTCATTATACTCAGAGAAGAAGAACTAAAATCATTATGCATTACCTAAACCTTCTTATCCTCTTAACCTTTGCCAAATATTTGAACACATTGCCGTCCCTGGGCGATACCTCCTGACGTAAGATAATATGCCCTTTTAAATACTTGTTAGGGAGGGGCCTCTGAGGCTTTTTCTGTAACAACTGCCTAGAAATGTAAAGAATATTTTAAAAGAGATGGCCAATGAAAGGATGTCTTATTTTCTTATTATTAGAAATATCCGTCACAGGTTTTACGGGGACTTTTCGTTTACAAAATATATTAGTTGCTCGAAAATTCTGCCTCAAAGTTTTCCATCTGTGAATTTGAATCTGACTCATACGACTTCTATGACAAGTAACAAACAGTAACTTATGCTGCACATTATTCCGGAGTATGAGTTGCAAAGGTTATGCGGTATTGTAAGTTTGTATGGACAGCGTTCTTAGACAACTGCTTGATTTTATACGCAAATCCGGTGGAAGTCGGTTACAAAACCCAAATTCGCCGGCATTTGGTTGAAATTCATGAAGGCAAAGTCCAGCGTAAGGATTCTTTTGAGATAGAATGTCGCATTACGTCAAAAATTGAAAGGAGAACCTGAGAACTGGTTCAAGTCACGTCTCACGTCATCTTGAAGACGTGCTTAATGCTGAGCAAATTGCCCACCTTGCCAACCCTAATACGGTTGAGAAGTTCATGGAAACTACGGACCGGATTCGCAATACTCGGTCAGTGACTTACCTGGCTACTTCTTGAAACATTGTTATATTAAAAGGAAATGTAGGTCCTCCAAGCGCAAAGCAAAATGGTTAATTAAAGCCTGCTACTTTGCGAAAAATGGTAATTACTCCTCGTAAAGCCCACTAACACTGTAAGAAAAACTTGATCAAATGGCATTAGCGATTAGGTTCGACACATTACCGGGCATTTTGTGAGGGACTATACTAAATTATAAACAGCTGAAATTGCTCGAGTTAATCTAAGAATACGTGGAATTGCCATAACAATGGCTAGAAGTGATGACCGCCTAAGGCACGAGCGTGCAACCTTGCTTGCGGACGTAGCCCACCCTCTTCAGCCTCGGAGTTTGTGACTTAGTCATGGCATCGGGGCCACGTGAGGGCGGGGGGAGACATAGAGTGCGGTAGATTCAACGCACTATAATCTAAGTCATGCACAAGTAACCACTCCTATGCCACCTTGGAGTGACGCATGTGGTGGATCACGTCGGATAAGATGAATTACCTGAACGGACCTATCTATCAAACCATTGTTGTACCACCTGAAACACTTTCAAAGGAACATTGGTCAAACGGTGAGGCAGGCATGTTCAATTGCCTGCATTCATTGCGGTTCCCTGGCATTGATCTTTCCACAATCAATCCCGTTTCCTATAGCCTGTCTTTTTGCTCTGCCA